ATATTGTTGGTGTTCGAATATGCTCAGATGGATGCACATACACTGACACACACACATAATGACACACATATATACACACACATACACTTCCACACAAACACAGGTACACACATACTGACACTCACAGATACACACACATGCACATATATAGATATACACTAACACAAAGTTACAAACGCACTCTGACACACACACACATAGAAGTTACACTTACATATATTTAGCCACCCTCCTGTTTTCACACCTTTTGGGTGGCTTCCCTGCAATCCAGTGGATCCGGATGCTGACGGAAGCTGAGTCTGGGGCTTGTACAGGCTCTACTTCCTCTCTACCTCCTCTCATTTTGCCTCCTTTTTGCTCATGTGGCTCTCACTGTAGCTAGGAGAAGTGACCTGAACTCACTTCCCACAAGCACTGCCAATGTGGCAGGGGCCCAGTTGCTCTGCCAAGGGGCCACAGCTCCCAAATGGCTCCATGATTAGAGATGAGGTCCACTAAAAGGGCCCCGTGCAGCACAGTCTACCTGTGTTTTTTGGTATTTGTTTTTTTTTTCTCTTTTTGGGTATCCTCCCCTGCATATCATGGCACTTCAACAGCCGAAACAGTCTGCAGCAGTGATATGGATCCCGTATACTGGCTCTGATCATTAGGTCAGGACAACTACCCTCCAATGTTAACTGAACCTTTGGATTTGAGTGTCTGCAATACAGGGGCAGATAACTCCTTAAAATTACACTAATTTTTGCATTCACCAAACATTTGTTTAGATATATTTATAAGTATTTGAAAAATAAAAGATAACTACTTGTAAATATCTCTGTTGTGGTTTTTCTTACAAATGTAAACTTCAGTTATGGAATATTATTTTTCCACTGATCATCATATCATGAATTCTGATACAGCAGATCTCCTAAGATTCAATGAAATATTTATCTTAAATCAGCACCTACAGCAGTGGCATCTATAATGCCTGTCATTCTTATACATCATCCTTTTAATGCTAGTGGTAATGGTGCTGAACAAGTAGCCAATGAATATATAGACACATTGCTCAGTTTTAATTAATCTGTGGATGATACAGAAAAATATAGGGATAGATGTGAAACACATATGTAAAGTCAATGGAAGCATCAATGCTGTCGTGAACATTTCCCATGGCTTCGGTTAATATCATATATCCACTGGGACAGTCATTGAGAGATGACAGAGGTACAATCTTATCCTCCTATTACACGTTTTTGTTTTGGAATCATTATGAATGTTCAGATGGCTTTGAAGATAAGATGTGTTTCCCTCCTGCCGGCTTCACATACAGGATTAACTCTTCAATCCCTTGGATGACTGCCAATACATTGGAGGGCAACATCTAAGTAGCCTATTTAGTGGTTAAGCACATCTTCAGACAACCGAAGGCCTGTATCTGATAAGGTTTCTCTTTGTTTTTTGCTACAGGTAGCACACCGTGGGAAACCTGCAGCCCTCTTAATATCCGCGTTTCTGACATATATCACAATTCAAGCAATTCAAAGCTTTGAATAACACTGAAAACAAGATTCTCTTGAAGGATAACAACAGAAACCTTATACCTGATAGTTCTGGGTTTTATATATTACTTTCTGAAGAATGTTTTGAAAGAGTTTTGAAAAGCGAGTTAAGCATGAGATGCATTAATAGGCTGTTTTAGGGATTTCATGTTTGCTTCTATAATCGGTATTTAAATATGCTGCAGGATATTTACATGTGCAGGAGCAGGAAAACCCTGTGAATAATATTAAAAATAAATGAGTACCTTAATTATATTCAAAAGGAAACAACAGTTATTAGTGATAACTAATTAGGTAAACAAATAACTAATTAGGTAATAGTAATATTAATATGAAATAACAAAGAATACAATATAACAAACAATGTTGAATTTAAACAATGATTATGCAATGGGTTCCGTTCTGAATGTGAAGCCCAAAAGAAACTGAAATTACAAGCAGAGTATTTGTGGAATGGCTTTGTTTTTAGAACCGGCTCAGTTATTTTTGGGGAGGTCTTAACTGGGAGTGTCAGTATGTGTCTAGGTATTGTGATTGGCATTTAGGAACATTGTAAACCTTCAAGCCAGAAAGCACAAATATTACAAGCAGAGTAGCGACCAGTGACAGCTCTTAACAACGTAAATTGGAGACGTCGGGCAAGGACCCTTGATTTAAGATGATTTTCATACTGCATAACTATTTTATCATATATTTGTTTGAAGTAATGCAACATGGCATTTGTATAAGTAGAAAAAGCTGATGTAAAAACGATATAGCTCAGACTCAACCGCATTTCAATATTTTTTTCAATATAGACAATAAGTACAGATGTCACAGGACATGTTTCTCCAGAATGAAGATACAGGTTCTTAGCACTTTTTAAAAAGAAAGCTAGCTCTGTAACACCCAGGATTAATGGTATTTAAGCTCACAATATGATTGATTTGTTTCTTACTGGATACGTAGTGTTCTAATGTATGTTTACACCATGAGCATGGTTCAAATTGTTTTCTCAATATTTCTAGGCTAGTAGCCACACAGTATAAAACTCCCAGTATAATTGACAAGCACTTTTGGTGGTTCCTGGAAAAAAGTAAGAATACAAATCTAGTTATATCATATTTACAGATATCCATCCTGTTGGCATGTAGAACTTGGTTGGGTCTGGCCATTTCATGTTCAGCGGTGGGAAAGAGCACCACAGGGCTGTCTGACAGATCGGTGGGGAAGAGCCATCGACATCTGACCCGAAGGCTCGTGCTAGTGGCCTCAGCATCCTCCGGCCGATGAGACGTCTGGAAAAAGCTGCAGTTCGCATTGAAGGTGGCGAATAGTGCCAGCCTCCCTAGCACCTCGTAGGATAGCCTCTCATTCGGCAAAAGACTCAAGGCAGCAAATCACGTCCCATGGCAGAGCTTCAGGTGGGCCTCTTGGGTGCAGGGCATGGTGCGCTCTGATAAACTCTATTTTAGTGGATGGGTCCCTGGGTCAGTCTGGAGGATATCGCATGTGGCATCAAGGTCGGCATACTTGGTCGTCCAGTCCCTCTCCTCCGGTCTCGGCTACCGGTCCTCAGGTGAGAAGCATGGTGAAACATCACCCTGATCATCAGAGGCCTCCTCCGACATGTCCTGGGATGAGAGGTATTGGCGGAGTGACGGGATTAGAGACCCCTTTTTGGGATCAGTAGTGTGTTCTGGGAGCTGGAAGGTCTATCAGTTTTCCCATTTTGAGTACATTTTACACGAGGCAGTGGAGCAGGAAAGATTTAAGCAGCCATCTTCCTTCAGAGCCAACCCCGGCCCTCAGTTTTATTTATTTGATCAATTTTCTACTTTTGATTATACATACACTTTTAATTATACATGCACTCTTATCTTTATTTCTTTTTTTGAAATTCTTTATTTTTCTTGTGCATGTTGCAAAGACACGTAAACATGGAATGCCAAAAAATCAGCGACACGTGTAACAGTGGCAAGTCATAAAAGGAAAAGTTTGACATTTTGAAACATAGCTAATTTTTCAATATGAAAGAACACTTTTTCAGTACAAGATAGCACATATTGCAATAAAGACCTATTGCGTGTGGTGCGATGGGAAGTTCCTAGGGTCTAAGAGTTGCGTGGTGCGGTGTAACTGTGTAGTGCAGGCTACTATTGCGTGCATGATACCTAGTGATCTTGTCATCTTACAGGCTCTGCTAGGTCACACCATCCGAGTCTAGGACGTTGCCATAGGCCCTGTGTGTGCTTGTTTGATAGTGGGTCAGTAGAACTATAAGGACAATTTTTTTTTTGTTGTTGCTCCAGGTGAGGCACGAACTCACAACTTATCTTTATTTCTTAATTACACATGTACTATATATATGTTGTCTTTAAGGGGAAGATGTACCTGTACTATTTTTACTGTATTTAAGCATATGTGTTTTACATTAGTTGCTTATGTGATATACCGATGCACAAATGTATATTAGTAATACATATAGATCAGACAGTGACAATGAATAACATTAGTCCTATTTGTGAATGAAAAGATGTAAAATGGACTTGGACAGTTTAAACCTCTACTGTATATAAGATTGCACAAAGGGGCCGTCGCATTATTTTGAAAAAGCCAGAGAATAGCGGGCAAAACCCGTAGATACGTGAGCAGTTTGTTTGGCACTGCAGGACAGAACAGCGGGAATCCACGTCTGTGTTCTTCCGAACAGGGAGCATCACCTTTTGGTGGTTGATCCGCTAAGCGCTCGCACGTTCTTGCTCTTTCAACAATATATTAAAGGGTGGACAATATATCAAGCACAATGCTTATAAAATAAATAAAATAATAACAATCATGAACACTGAATGCTCAATTTCCATAAGTTTTCATAACATTGAATGTTGCTGTCTTGCTGTCTGTACTTGATCTAAAACCATTTGATTGCAAATATCAGGTGCACAGTACATTAATTAATAGAAAATAATGTAGTTGTAAAGAAATATATATATTTGTTTATCAATTATATACTTACATCATTGATGCCATAGTTTACAATTGGTGAGATTAGTCACATTTAAGCTAAGGAAAAACAAATGCATACATGTCTACATTATTTCATATGCATTGAGGTCGCCGCTTCTATTTCAAGAACAAAGTCAATTCTATTGACACCTCAGGCAGGTTACTTTTGAATCCACTAGAGTGTTTAATTAACATTGTGACAACAAGTGTAAATGTAAAACGAAAAGCCTTGTATAACTCAAAAGAACAACCAGAATGCACTGAGGCGAAAGAGGCATTTCTGGCTTGAAGGTTTACAATGTTCCTAAATGCCAATCACAATACCTAGACACATACTGACACTCCCAGTTAAGACCTCCCCAAAAATAACTGAGCCGGTTCTAAAAACAAGGACATTCCACAAAGTTAAATAGTCTGCTCTATAATCATTCTCATTGAGAATGTATGTATATTAACCATTGGTGTTTCCAGTGAATGTGGATCTAATGTATACATTGTTGAAAGGTTGTGCCTTTCAATTACAGTGACTTACAAATCATGCAGAGTATAGCAGCTTTTCTGTGTTACTCACTGTATTGGAAATTTTCAGTTACTGACCAGCGAAATGCATTTCTAGGCCAAAACAGCCAAGCTGGCAATGTAGCTGGGTTTGAAATGTTTAACAAATAACATTGTTTGGGACAGTAAGGGATAGGCGAGTTTGCAGGGAATTGCTGAGAACTGACCAGGAAATTATGGATTTTAGAGCAAAAAAGAAAGAAAAAAGCTTCAATTGAAAAAATCTCTGAATCACCTGTTTTTGAGGTTTGGCTATTTGGCTCTGAAATGTACATTTCCCTGGTCAACCGCCTTAAATTCCCTGTTTAATGAATAACATATAAATGTTTTAATTAAAGCTCTCACTTGTAAAACTTGTTAATGTTTGCAGCCTGAGGAAGTTGTATAAACAAAACGCATTGAGCCAATCGTTCCACAAGTGAGACATTAGTACTAGCGGTCTTCCTGTACTCTATCCTGGATGGTTGTGAACTACAAGCTCCTGATGTACAGAGTTTTGTCTGCTGCTCCATGTGGGACTAAGCCCACAGTGGCTATAGAGCGTGTTTTGCACATTTACAATTTGTTTAACTGTGCCATTGTATAATGTGAGTGTTGTATTTACTGTTTTTATATGGATTTTTTATTATATTAAAGTACTGCACAGTTATTTTGTCTTTATTTTTCTTTTGCATGTGAGAATTTTTCCTGTGGAAATGGCAACTGCACAGTGACTGTGGCGCCTTGATTTGTTTATAGAAATTCTTTTATACACATTGTATTTTTTGCTGACAACAATATTATACTATCATTACACAAAGGGGTATTGATTCACATTATCAAAATATAATTTTGCCTCTTTTTAAATCAACGATAAGACCCCACTTTGAATAAGTTGTGCAGTTTTGGACACCAGTTTTAAAGAATGACATAGAAGAACCAGAATAAGTGCAGAGATGATATATATATATATATATATATATATATATATATATATTTATTTATTTATTTTTTTAAAAATCCTGGATGCTTTTTTGTAAAACAAGAATATTCAAGGATATATTTCAAATGTATGTGAACAGGTTGTTGATCCAAGGAGACATCTGATTGCCATTATGGAATCAAGAAGGATTTGTGTCCCTTTTTGTTGCATAATTGGAAATGGCTATAATTCAGTTCTTCACCTTCTTTTGGATCAACAGAATAAAAGAATTGGTGTCAAGGTTGAACTTAATGGACTTTGTTTTTTTTCAACCTATATTGCTAGATTGTCATGAGACATGTGATCATTTTCCACAGGGTGATTAAAACATATGATGGAAAAAAAGATATGCTAGTCATGCACTTAGTTCCACATGTTTAATAAGCAATAATTAACAGCATTTTTATTTTATCCATTATCGTGCCTACAAATGGGAAAACAATTGTATGATACTTTTCACATTACTAAAACAACTAAAATAACAAAGGAAACTTATCTCTGAATTTGCGAAATTTCCATAAGCCCAATGTTTTCATGAACTTATGATATGTTGAGAGGAGAGATAAAAATATGTCAATAAGTTTCTAAATGAAAGCTCTCTCTACTTTTGGTGTGTTGGGGCTGTGTTGTAAAACTGAATCACAGATTTTTGTGTCCAATGTCACAAATCTTTCCCAATCAAAGCCGTTAATTCAGTCCTCTTCACAGGTCAAACATGTCGTTCTCACTGTTCAGCCTCTTCCTCTCTTTCCATAGCATTTCAGACCCTGTCCATTTGGATGGTGTGTCTTTAAATGCCAAACATTCACATAATGTCACTTCCAATTCAGAAGTGTCCTTGTCACCTAGGCGACCTCATCCTTTTACTTTTTGGAGTCGCAGAGGTGATATGGTCCAATCAGAGCATAGATGACACTATAAATATCCTACTTTGACCCTATTTTGGTGCCTTATTGTGGTTTCTACCTTGGTACCCGATTAGTGCATTCCTTAAGTCTGTTTGTTTTTCTGGCTTTGACCTCAGCTAGCGATTGGATATTTTGGTCCCTCTGAAATCCAAGTTCAGTTTATTTATCATATTTCCATCTATCTATAATCCTGACCTTGATTTGATTTGATTTTGACTTTGTATCTCTCTGTCTATTACATTAATTCTGACCACTCTAAGGCCCGGTAATAGGTCTAACATTGTCTCTCTTTGTTTGGGTTTCCCATTTCCTGTGAGTTTGGGTATACTCCCCTGACACTTATATAGGTAACTTTGCTGAATGAATAACTTAATTTCTGCAAAGTTCAACATTGATGCGCTACAAATATTTATCTGGTAGACTATACATGTCCTTAATCTTCTGGGTACCCTGACACAGGATAGGTGTACCACCTGAAATTTAAGAAAGAACCTAGTATACTGATGTTAGTCAAAGTAAGTACCCAATGGCAGCTGACTGGCTATATCATAGAGGCACCCATTACTCCTTATTATGGCTCAAATTCCAAGAATAGTGTAAGCAGCAATAAGAAGAAGAGCCCATATAGATTCAGTTTATTCACTAAATCATGAATTGTTTGAAAATGACCAATGAACTTCAATATTAATCCAAAGCAGCTGAGCTAGAAAAACAGCTGAATTGAAGAGTAATTGCAATTTATCTGCTTTGGCGTCAAATGAGAAATTTACTGGTTAGTTCCTGATAATTCCTGGTTTAGTAAATAATCCTGATACACCATACCCACTGATAATTATGCTTAATGGCTGCTATTTACCAAAAAGCATGGATATTTACCCTGCACAGGGTTAGTCATTAAACTGACCTTTGTCAGAATTTAAATTGTATTAAATTCTAGGCCAAAATACCAAAAATGAAAACATAACTAACTCTTTTCAAGTTGTGTATTTTGGCCTAACATTTGAAATTCTCTTTGAATTCAAAATTGTTTCCTATCAATTCACACTTTAGCAAATAACCCTGTCTGGATCTAACAAGCTTTGAGCTTGAAATGCACGGTGACAGATTATTTTAGCTATTCATATCGCTATACACAAAGATTCAGTGTGAGTTTAAAAGCCCAGAAAATTACAATGAGATGGAATAATCATAGAAAAATAAAGTAATCAAACAGATGATACATTATCCTCAAACATTAGTTTGAAAATAGACTCTTACGTTTTATGTGGATAATAATTCATATTTTTCTGGCATGTATATTACTCAGATATTTGGTGATTCATTCTCTTTCTGAAAGTTTCCATCCAAAAATATAATACAAGAAACATAACATACTCTACTGGGATCACTTAACTAGACTGGCATTTTAAATATTTTAATTTATCGATTATAAATGAAAGTTCATAGTTATAATAATTTAATAACCATTGTTATTTATTAAGTGCAAACATCCCAAGGAATGCTGTTCTGGTATCTTTTTTCACGTCTTAGATTCAGAATAACAGTGGCTCATGAATGCATGCTTAAACCATATTTATTTTTAAAGGGACACTATAGTCACCCGAACAACTACAGCTTATTGAATTTGTTCTGGTGTGTAGAATCATTACCTTCAGGCTTTTTGCTGTAAACACGGTCTTTTCAGAGAAAATGCAGTGTTTACATTACAGCTTAGTGATAACTTCACTGGTCACTCCTCAGATGGGTGTTAGAGATCCTTCCTGGGATGCTGGTTCTGCCCCTGATCTGCTTCTTTGTCAGTCTCAGCCAATCATATGGGGAAGCACTGTGATTGGATCGGGCTACCACTTCTGATGATGTCAGCAGACTGCTTTTTTGTTGTTGTTGAGGCAAACAGCATGCAGATCTACAACTTCTGGCTTGAATGCTGTAAGATTTTGCTATATTTATGGAGGCATGAGGGGCCCAGGGGGGCTAGATGGTGGTGTTAACATGACAGGGTCAAGAATACATGTTTGTGTTCCTGACCCTATAGTGATCCTTTAATTTCAGACCAATCAGCTGGAATGTCTAAGCTTTGTCATGGTCTCCATCTACTGACTAAACAAGAAAAAATGCTTACTAGTAGAACAAATCTAATCTAACTTTGCATTCTACAGTGTTTCATGTACCTGTTGCTATGAATAAAAATCAGAACTATTATTTTCATTAAATTATACTTCCCATGTTTTTGTGCCAGCAGTTAAAATAGATAATTATTATAAAGCAGAGCAGGAAATAATAAGAGTCTTGGGTGGATCCATACCATTCACTTTAACTGCCAATTCCCAATATCATAGAAAAACATTAATGTCTTGATTTATTAGTGCACATAAAAACCAGCATAAGCAAGGAAAAGATTTACGCGTGTCTTTCTTTTTAAATATAAAAAGCTAAGATCTAATCTGACTCACAGTATCATTAAATTGCGCAAATGTACTGCTCCAACCTAATAATTTTCCTGATGAGAAACCTTCAAAGAAACAATGATATTAGATATGCCAAACCAGCCTTATGTTCATCAATGGGAAACAGACTCTGCAACTTACCTGATCCTGATTGCGATCCTACTCTTCCGATGTCAGCTGATGGGGGGAACCCAAGGCAGATGCGCAATGAGCTTGACACATGCATTAGGCCTTCTCCAAAGGAAAGCATTGAATTGGGAGCTGACATCACTTCTGTACTCTTTATTATTATTATTATTATTATGTTATTATTTATATAGCGCCAACAAATTCCGCAGCGCATTATAGTTGATGGACGAACAAATATGTAGTTGTAACCAGACAAGTTGGACACACAGGAACAGAGGGGTTGAGGGCCCCGCTCAATGAGCTTACATGCTAGAAGGAGTGGGGTAAAGTGACACAAAAGGTAAGGATAGTATTAGACTAATGACAGTTGCAAGAGAGGAATCAGTTGGGAGCTGTGTTAACAGTTTAATTGATACGCTTTTATGAAGAAGTGGGTTTTTAATGATTTTTTGAAGTAGTGGAGACTGGATGAGCATCTATCGGAGGAGGGAAGCGAGTTCCACAGGAACGGTGCAGCCGTCAAGAAGTCTTGAGCAGAGCGTAAGGGCCTAGACGGGACATACTTGTGTATTAGGGAGGATAGATAGGTGTGAGCAGCATTATGTAGAGATTTGAAAGCAAGAACCAGAGTTTTAAATTGAGCCCTTTCGCCTACTCTTGCGCATGCAATCCCAAGACTGCAAGA